AGCCCACCTCGGGCCTCCATTCCGGTCTCCTCTACCCCCTTCATCCAATCCAAAATTCCCCCTCCGCCTTCCCAGTCATCATCGTCCAATCAGAAGGTGCCGTCTGTCCCTGCTCCTCCTCCTCCATCGGTAGGTAACTCTAGCAGCATCGCCGCCACCGGGTTCGGTCCTGCCCTCAATACCCTAACGGAGCCCGTTTGGGACACCGTGAAAAGAGATTTGTCGAGGATCGTTAGTAACTTGAAGCTGGTGGTGTTTCCGAATCCCTACAGAGAAGATCCTGGAAAGGCGTTGAGAGATTGGGATCTGTGGGGTCCTTTCTTCTTCATTGTCTTTTTGGGACTCACGCTTTCTTGGTCCGCCTCTGTTAAGAAGGTTTTGTTCTCACATTGGACTTCCATTTTTACCTTCTTTATCTTTGAGCATTTGATAACTTGTGATTAATCGATTTGACGTACATCTATTTAAATTTTGACCGTTAGCCGTTAAAATCTGATAAAACTTGTTCTGGATCATGCAACCTTGAAACCTTCTAATTGTTTTGCTATTTTCTTTTTTACCTCTATAAAAGTCCTTAGGAATTATAGGTAAATGGTGGTACAAAAAATGAACAATTCTCTAAAATGCAACAGTGTTCTAGAATTATTGTTTTACCTTGGAGGATTCAGATCTATGCGTATCTTGTATGTTTCTTAAGTGTAAAGATCTTCACCGTAATTTCCTTTACCCCTTTTAGTTATCTTGGATGTTATCTATCTAGATTTTATCTCCATTATTTGATAGTTTTACATAGAACACAGTGATACAATATGATCTTTTTAGTTGACTCCTCGTCATGGGAGAAGCTTTGGTTTATAGTTGCTGTTGTATTTGATAGTTTTGCAAGGTTTTTCACTTGTGTAAGTGCTAAACATCGTGTGAAACCTTTCTATGGCCTGTTTGAATGGTTATTCAACTCTACCCTTGAACTCAAGTTGTGATTCTTAAGATTATATAGTCTCTGCATCTTTCCGTTGGGTTGTATATTGTTATTCTCATCTGGTCTCTGCATCTTTCCGTTGGGTTGTATATTGTTATTCTCATCTGGTCTATTATTTTCTGTAATGTCCGTTTTTGGCTTTCAGTGACCTTAGAATTCCGTTCTCCTTTGATCATTATCTTTCCTTCAAAGTGATAGATTTTGCATGAGATTCGGTATTCTTCCATCATGAGTTAGGAGCTAGACGATTAGGCTACTTGATACCTTTGGAGTTTTGCAAGGTTTTAACCATAAATGAAGTTTTGAGGTCAATCTGTCAAAGGTTGGAGATAGCTTAAGGCGCAACACTGTCTATTTGCATGAAATTCCTTCCAATATCTTTTCATTTATGATGATATTGCTTTGAATTTTGAAGAGATATCTTCTCATTGTATTTTTTAATTACTGGTGGTCTTGTCTATCCTTGCATCATATTTTTTTATTTCTCCTCCTGGAATCTTGCCTTTTCTTTTCGACTTTTTAGTTTTTAATCTGACAATGATATTCTTGCAAGTTATTTCTGTTCTGCATATTTTCACTGTATAAGAGGCATCTCTTATGCTTGTTTAAACATTTATTAAAAGTTAATATGGATTTTTTTAGTCAGTACTAACTTTTTCTCTTAAAAATGTTTCAGTCTGAGGTATTTGCTGTTGCATTTGCGCTTCTTGCTGCTGGTGCTGTAATCTTGACATTGAATGTGCTACTACTGGTAATGGCCTCTCCCCTCTTGTGAGCAAAGTTTGACTGTGCCAGCTTTTAAAATTGAATTAACTGTTATATCTGGAACGGGAATCCCTGTTTTACATATAGTCCGATACTGTTATTTTGAAATTTTGGTATAAAATGCTATGCATAGATGTCAAACGAGTGACTTCGGCTGAGGTTTATTTCCTTTAAATTGTTTCAGGGTGGGCATATTATCTTTTTCCAGAGTTTGAGTCTTCTCGGTTATTGTTTATTCCCTCTGGATATAGGAGCCCTAATCTGTATGTTGAAGGAAAATGTCATACTGAAAATGATTGTGGTCAGTGTGACATTGGCTTGGAGCTCATGGGCAGCCTATCCTTTCATGAGTTCAGCTGTCAATCCAAGGAGAAAAGCGCTTGCACTGTATCCTGTTTTCCTTATGTATGTATCTGTCGGTTTTCTCATCATCGCCATTAATTGAAGTTCTTTACGTTCAGGGGTTCCAAAAGATTTACCAAAACTTTATGGAGCAACATAGTAATGTGAATGTGGTTACTGTATTCTTTTGACCTGACACAATATCTTGAAAATTCACCAAATATGTATCAAATCCTTTTGTGTTCTACTGCTACTTTCTCCATTTCTTTTGGTAGCCATGATTATGGCCAAGGCTGCAATGGGGTGCATATTTGGTAATCAGCTTGATTTTCTTCTCCATTTTCTTTTTTTCTTTTTTTATTTGCTTGTTTTGTTTTCTATTTTTCTCTTCACCTCTGCCCTGCATGTCTTTAGTATTGTTGTACCAAAAGTTAACACTTAATCGCTATTCATTCTGATTTTAGTTGAAATAGGAATGCACTGCTTCTGGTCTTAGTGAAAGTCAATTTCTGCATGCCGTTTTGTTGATTTGGTAAACGTTAATCAAATAATTTTTGGTTTCTTAAATGACTTGTTGAAATAGTGTACCATCCAACATTTTGTTTTTTGATTCTTTGATTCGATGAGAATGAAAGAGAATGGAAAAGCAGGAATGTGAATGATTTTGATTGATTGATTTAATAGACTAAAAGATTATTATAATTTACAATGGTGAATAACTAGTATATTGAAAATGATCATTACACTTCGTTATTTTTCTTTTCAAATTAATTAAAAAGGAGTTTTGATTTATTAGAATATGTTTTAAGTCCATATCCTTTTTGCATATTTGAATTTTGTTCTATTGTTTGCATTTTTAAAAAATTAGTTCTATTTTTAGATTTTAAAAAATAATATCTAATTGTTAATCGTTTTAAAAATATTAAACTTATTTATGAGATATTTTGAAATAAAATATTAATAATTTAAAAAATAAAAATGAATATTATATTTAACATAGATTTAATGGTAAAATTTTAACGAGATTAATAATTCTAAGGGTAAAGTACACAAATGGTTATCCGACTGTTAGATATTGTTTTGTTAAGTCCTCTGACTATTAAAAGTTACAAAATGGTCACTAGACTATTCATTATGTTCCAAACTCGTCATTTTCAGTTAAAAATCTAACGATCGTCTGAGCTGAAAGTTAACCTGATGACTGAACTATGATAATCATTTGAGATTATGAGATTATATTTTATTATATCTCAATCAGCAGGTTAACATCCAACTTAGATTGTCGTTGAAACATAATGAATAGTTGGTGGCTATTTTGTAATATTTAATAATTTAGGGACTCAACAAACTAATTCCCTATAATTAGTGGATCATTTTATAACTTTTAATAGTTGAGGGACTATTTTTGCACTTTAGCCAAAATAGTTTTGATTACTAAAAATATAGAAAATTGGAACATATTTTAACGGTTGTGATTCTTTTTGGCAAATAGTTTTGATTTGTTACTTTCGCTCACAGTCGCAGTGGAAATATCTTAACGTCGTCGCGTCTTAATCGCAAGAAGACCTTTCAGCTGCCAATCATTATCCGCCCGTCCGGTCGCAGTTGAAGTACACCGCCAACTGAGAGTTCTAATAATGGATCCTCAGCTGCCAATCTTCCCATTCACTATCACTGTTTTTTTCTTGATAGAATTACTATTTGTTTTATGCATATAGGGGCCTGCGAGCATATCTAGCCTCTGTTACATTAATGAAAACTGTTACCCAATATTTTTAGTAACAAAATCTATCATTAATTTTTGTAATCCGCCATTCTACACTACAGTTTCTGAGAGAGCAAAAACCAGCATATACAACGATTTAACTTTGGTTCAAACCCAGGTGCTACCATTGTACTCACTTCCTTTCTGTCCACCATACTTGGTTGCTGCTGCAAGTTGGGTGCTTGGGGAGCTTGCGTCATGTCTTCCAGAAGTGAGACATTTTTGTATTAGTTTCATCTCTTGTTCTTTCTTTAGGTGGAAGTCTTTTGTTAGTTTAAGCATGCCATTATTGTACTGATTTGCTTACACTGGTGTGCTGATTTTTTACTTTCTTCAAAACTATGTATAAAATGCATTGACTCAATAAATCTCATTTCCCGAGTTTGTATTCTTTTCAGGAGATGAGTGCAGACATCTATTCTTCCTTGTGTAAGGCATTGGCAATGCCTGATAATGAGGATACTTCTTGTTACCCTGTGCGAGTAGCTGCTGCAGGAGCAATTGCTGGGCTCCTTGAAGTAGGGTCCCCAAATCAAATCCTTAGTGTTACAAGGCATTCCCATTTAGTGTTACTCTCAGCTGAGGGTCCATTATTAGAACTCCCAGTTGGCGGTGTACTTCAACAGCGACCGGACTGGCAGATAGACGATTAGCAGCCGAAAGTTCTCATTGTGATTAAGACGCGACGACGATCAAATCACGCGATTGGAGTGTCGGGGTTGGGTCGCCAATCGTTGCTGAGGCCGTTAGCGACGACGGGGCACTTCCACAACGTTCGGAGATGCCTGATCGGAGGGTGAAGAGTTTTTTGGGATACACAGAGAAAATGGGTAAAGGGGAAGGGAGTTCTAATTAGCCTAGATAATTGGTTTTTCCCCATTAAAATGTTTTTTTCATTTTAATTTATTTTTTATTTGTAAAAATTATTTTTTAATATTAAAAAATATGTCACATGACATTTTTAATGGGCTAACGATTAAACTTAATGGTCCGTCACAACGTGACTCATTCTGAGTTATGGAATATAACGTTAAACACCAAACTAGAACGAAAAAAACCTTAGGAGAACTAAAAAAATGAGCATACGTTGGCCATTGTATATTAAAGCCTATTCATTTCATTTTATTTGTAACTAATGCAATTTTGATATCTAAAAAATGTTCTTTATATAAATTAAAGACATGACAGTTCGATGAAGTTTTGCCTATCATCAAGCAATATATTAACTCAAACCCTATAACATTTCTTACTCTACTGAAAAACCAAAAATCATCTTAACGGATAACCTTTATCAAGGGCACTTGACACCCAAGTATGAACGCCAAAGTTGGTCTTTCCCTCTACTTACTCAAAGAGACTTGAACCGAGGTAAATGGGAAGACCCGGGACCCTTTTACAAGGCTTCTACAGATTCATGCGTCGAACCAACACCCTTTCGAAGTTCCTCCGGAACGGAGGGCTAGCAAAAACACGAATAAGCCAAGTGGTTCTTCTTGGCAACGTAGGGAGAGAGGTAGTTGGTGACTGTGGCAGACGTACCAGATATGTCAGCCGGTACAAGGATTTGAGGTTTCCCTGAAGCTATTCTTTTTCCAGCTACATTGGCATAAAACAGGCCGGAGATGGCTGGTACAAAGACATCACTCTGAGAACATATGTAGAGATCTATAACCTTTTCAAATTCTGAATCTTCATATTCAAGGAACTTTCCCTTTTTCTCCTCAGGCATTATGGTTTCCTATATTGGTTCCAGTACCAAACAGAGGTTCAGAACAATAGAAATAGCAAAGTTGTGTTTCGAGGTTGAGCTACGAGTAATCATTGATTATTTACGAGCATTAAACATTGTACAAAAATTGCAGATTACTGTATCAAAACAAATGAGTTTAGATAAGAGATGAACTTACTTTTGTGTATGTCTTAGGGAAGATATCCTTCAAGACACTCAGGCTGTTTTCCCACCTTGATTGAGTCAGGTAAATGGTGGTATCTATATCGAATCCGACCTTCCTCAAGAACAAAGCTATCTCCTGCGCATTATAACAATTTTTCACCCTGGTAGAGCGACTTTCATGGCAATTCTTATTTTTTAGTATATCAACCCTCAAGTCCACTGCTATAAACTGGCCATCCGATTTGCAACTCAATGTTCTAAGCCGTTCAATCATCGAATCAATAACTTCAACAGCCTCTGCTTGCAACTCTAAGGTTCCAAACATTCCCAAACATGCGACAGAATCGACACTAGTCTTTTGTGCGGTTCTTCTCATATTCAAGGTAGGGAAGTACGTTGCGAGCCTTATGTTGCCCTTCGATCTAAATATCGGTTCTACACTTTCCACAATGTGATCTTTGGTGACCCGATTGGGAACCTTCACAGCTGCAAGATCCCTGATTGATATTTCATTCGGCAACTCTTTCACTACTTTGACAATCCCATCCAGGCTTTTCATGAACTTCTCGACATCATAAATATCTTCAAAGTTTCTGAAAGAAGTTAAACTATCTTAGTACTATTCATATTTTTAAATTTAGATTATCTCAAAGTTATGTTGCTTAATAATACTCTTCATATGAGATCGTTAAAACTAGCATGAGCACGGACCTCCCATCACCAGGTTTGCTTCCTCTAATATCCGGAAGTACAAGAGTTGCCGACAGATAACTTGCTACGACTACAGCATCGGCTATCTGATAAGAACAAACCACCACAGAATGAATAACAGATGAGATGGAAAACAAGATAATTCTTTCAATAGATTAGAGTGCAATAGAAAAGGAACTTTCATATGCATTAACAACAATAGATACCTTTAACACCAAAAATAGATACTAAAGAATACCTGAGAGACATGGTATTCTGGACCATTCGTCAACGAGAAAGTAACATACCCTCTCGACTGCCCGATCTCATCTGTTAGTCATGAAAGAACTCGATCAGTTAAAGAAAAGCATTAGCATAAACTTCTTCCAGCGAGTGCACAACAGTGACTGGGGGGAGATCTGTGCATACACATGACGATTTATACAACACTTGGTCATTTTTCAAGAAGTTAAGTGAATTCAACGAACCGGAATCCGCCTTGCTCCAACATGGCTTTAGCTCTTGGATGCCCTCCATCCAAGGTCCTTTACTCCTCTTAGAAAGTTTTACAAGGCCATCGTGCGCGATCGTATTGGCACCGTTGAATTGAACATCCAGACTTTCTCCAGGTAGTGTTTCCTACAAAACATGGGGCAGGGCAAAGACCATGTAAGTAAATATAAGGATCTGAAGACAATTCAATTATCCAAGATTTACTTCACCGGAAAAGCAAATCAGGCTTGCAGATCAAAAGTAGGAAGTTTCAAGTTAAAATCTCCTTTCTTCATCATGAATTAACAATCATTTGTGATAAAATTTAGCTGCAAATATACACAAACAATTACCAAATACAACGTTTTAAAGATCAAGGTTGTAATAACATCCCCCCCCCCCGGGGAAGTTGCAGATTTGATGCCAAAAAGAAGCAAGGTGGGAAATGAAGCAACTGATTCAGATTTACTCTCACAAAACCGAAAAAGCAACCAAACAATTCAAACAATGTAATGAAAGGTGAAGATAAATTGGGATGAAACATTACTCGAAGAGAATCAAAATGGTCTCTTTTAATCATTTGACCAAGCATCACAAACATGGTAAGAGTGAGTACAGCAGCCACTACTTGCCTCAAATCAACTCCCATTTCTTTTTTTTTCTCACCAGATTCTATGATAACAGTGAAAAGGAACACCCAAAGTGGGTGTTTTCTCCCAATAAATTTAGACCTAATGGAAGAGGCTCGCTTAACAAACGGCAAGTTTAATAAGTAGACAGGAAATGATAACCCTATAAAACCCTTTGTTTATTTGGAGAGAGAGAGAGAGCTCCTTGGCATTACACGACCGACACTTAACCGTGAAAATGATGCGCTGCCTGTTTTTCTTGCAACACCACCATATTTTTGCCCAGAATAAAACTGCAAGTCTCTACATCCACTGTTGATCCTAATTTTTTCCCTACCAATTTATCTCTTCATGCAACAGATCGTACTATAAATTTTATAAAATAAATTAAACAAACTTCAAATTATAAAATTAAACAAAAAAAATATTAAATCTCTGCTTTACACGATTTTTATATTTGTTTTACATTTTATTCAAGTCACCTCTAAAAATTTTGGATTCAAACAATCATATATATATATATATATAGAGGTTGAATTCAAATAATTATATCTATAGAATGTGTACGCATTATTAATGATTAAGAAAGTTCATGAACAAATAATATCTTATAATCACCTCATATTATTAAAAATATTATTGATATAGTTTTAAACATTAATATTTAAAAATTAATATCCTCGAATAGTAAAATGTACAAATAAATTTAACAACAAATAATGTTTTAATTGAATTTTGTTTTTTAACAATCTTGAGATCAAATAACTTGACCGGTTGTTTCTTTCTTTAGTATTTTAATTTGTTTTGGTTTGAATTTCTTATTTATCAGTTTAAATTGAAGAGATGACAATGTGAACGAGGATGATATTGACCTACCAAATACCAAACAAGCTGTCCATACCCACCTTCCCTCAATAAATGCAGATTTTTATATTAAGGATGAAATTTTAAAAACTTAATGATAAAATTTTAATATAATGAAAATAGATTTTTAATAAAAAATTAAAAATATATGATAATTTTAAATTTTTAGGAGATGATTGTCTACACCCACCTCTTCAGTCCATCCATGCTCATATTTCTCTTTTAATTTATTTTTTGAAAAAATAAAAGTATAAATTTAGTATTTCTTGATTTGATTAATAAAAATTAAGAAACGACTAACTGGATTAATGGCTTTGGATTCGGTATTGAAGGAAATCAATAAACAGTTGAGTTGGAATATCTGACTTTAGGTCCTTCTCCGTTTGTCTTTTGTCTGATTTTCTTTATTTTTTATTCAAAGATTTAAAAGAGAGATATTAGGACATGAAATCTCAGTTAGTCTAAGTCAAGCCATTAAAAGTAAGAAATGTTGAGGATGGTTCCTGTAATTATGCAATGATTATCGCCTTAAGTTAGGGCTCAATGGTAGTGCGACTGCGTGCGTGCGTTCGTACTACTTACTCCACTTGCTCTACCGCTTTAATTAGGTTCCAACTTCCAATACTTTCATCCTATTTTTATATTTATATTTAAGAATTATATATTTATACTCGCCGTGTCTTAATTTAATGGTTAGATTATAGCCTTAAGATTCTTTGCATTTAATTTATATTTAATTTTATTTTAAATATTATTATATATATATTATCTGAATGATATTGAAATGTATTATTATTTTTGTAATCATGATTGAACCTGCAATGATAAAATTAGAATGATGTTATTGAAGTTGATTTGTTTAATTTATAATTAATATTGATATAAAAATATTTTTGAAAAATAAATATTATAATTTATTTTTTAAAAATATAATTAAAATCAAAAAAATTAAATCTAGACTTGGTTTTGAAGATCTCAAAATTAATATATAAAATTTTTAATTTTTTTAGTAATTTATATTATAGAAAATCTTAAATGTTCATGTCTTGTTATTGAGTTTTGTCTAATGACATAATCTAACTAATCGAGATTAAAAATAATGTAGGTTTGCAACCCAATGACTAAAAGTATTCTGAGGTAAACTATGGTTGACCTACTTTTAATACACACCATATTAATTAGGAATTAAATTTGTATCATGCATACGTTATTGTCAAATTTTCCCATTTTTATAGTAATAAATATACTTTATTATAAATAAATATTTGACAAATAATAATATTGATGTATCCATTTGGTTGTTTTCCGAACTAATATGAGCTTTTTCAAGATAATGGCCCATAAACCTTTATTGTTAGCAAGTCATTAACCTTAATGGTGAGGGTTCTCGTGGCCCCTAATTTTTTTAGGTACTTTTAAGATTAATAAAATTACATTTTATCTCATAATTGAATCTTATTTTAAATATTTTTAATTTTGAAATCGATGAAATTAAATTAAACTCTAACTTTTGTAGTTACTATTTTTAAATAACTGAAATTAAAATTTATTTGTACTTTTCTAAATTTTTTATTAATAAATTCATATTTTTTTAAAAGAGAAAATATCGAAATGTAATATTTAATTAAATCATGCATAGAATGATACAAGTGTATAGTTCTATTGTTGTATCCATGTTCAGTGAGGCTGCCACACGACAATGACGTGAATATTGCATCGGATCAGGGCTTTATTCTATTGGCTTTAGTTCAGGCCATTCTATGGGTGTTTAGTATTGTTTTGTTACCATTTCCTGTTTTGTCCTACTTTTCTCTCTTTACAGATATAGTTCTATTATTGTACCAAAGTATATTTTGCTCCTGCCTTACAAAATCAATATTTTTATAGCATTTACAGATCTGTAAATAATTTTTTTTTATATTAAAAGTTGAATTACAAATAATAAAATAATTTCAATATTATTTCTCAATAACAAATATTAAGTATGCATTTTTAAATTTGTTTGATTACTTTAATTAATATTAAAGATTAAATTATTCTACCTAATAGTACAGGGATTGATTAATAGAGAGATATATTTAACCCAATCTTTAGAATATAGAAACTTTGTCAAATTTCAATTTTTTTTTTGTCAAACTAGTGTAATAGATGTGGGTTTGGGTTGGTGTAATTATTGGAAGTGAGCTAAGACAAGACAGAATATACAAACCCAACTGAATAGCCCATCCATTTATATTCAATCACGTGGCTTATACTCAATAACCCAGCTCAATAGATACAGGCCTCTTGCATGGAAGAATAGCGGAGAAGAAGGGATGCACATTTTACTTATTAGGCCTTCAAACACGGTTAATAAAATGGGAAAATGAACCCTAATAACATCGTGAACAAGTGATGGAGTGATTATAATATAACATTTATTTAAATAAATTTAATTAATTGATAATACATATATGATGTGTATATATAATTATTCGAACTTAATATCTTTAAAAAAAATAATATTTCTTTTATTACTGAAATCACTTAATAAATTTCATTTTCTTTTTATCAATTATGTTTCATAATATATCGATGATTTATATATACACATCATATCCCGCATAACAACAAAGCAAACCTTCTTTCAATTGTTACAAACATGAGTAAATTTTTCATAATATATTGATAATTATACGTATCCTATTTTGTATTTTTCTTGTTAATCATGCAAATGTGATTAATACACAAAAAGATAAAAATGGTTTATAGTAAATATTTTTTGATAAAATATTTATATTATCATGTTTAAAATAAATAAAAAGTATACTTTTTTTAATTTATATAATTATTAGAAATTAAAATTTTACGATCATGATTGATAATGTAACAATTTTCATGTTCAAAATATTTCGGGAGATAAGAGGTCTAAATTGATAAATCTCTAATTTTTATCTATCTGACAGTAATTAATTTCTGAAGTAAATTTCGTAAGTTAGACTCTTTGTATCCAAGGTAATCTGATTAAATCTGTTTTCCGTTTTGGTTTTTGGGTTTCTCTGCTCTTTGCTTATTTGGGTTCCTCTTAAGTTGTATATTTATGTATTGCTTGCTTTGTTTTACTCCTCAACTTGTTTGAGAACATTAAGGTTTTAAGATTTTATAAGGGCGAGGATGTGAAAAGCAAACCTACTGTTTTTTAATGATATGAAAATTAACAATTCAGTTTGGGTTAGGAAAAATGCCAAGCTTCAATTTTTATGATATGTTTGAATGTTTCTTAAATTTATGCTATTGAAGAAAGTAGAAGCAAAAAAGCAAAAGGAAAAGGAAACCCTAAGGGAACTTAAAAAGTTAGAAAATTTCAAGTTTAGATGGCCTAATGCAAGGGATCAGTTGAGGGTTTTAAGATTTTGTAAGGGTGAGGATGTGACTATAGTTTATGATCTTTGGAACATTTTTTCCTTTTTCAATTTCTTGGATGTCATAGAGACTTGTTGGATGTATCAAGTGGCTACTTCAGCTTGGAATTGATAGTCTATCTCATGTTCTGAAGGGTGATTCGGATGACAATTAATGCAGCGATAAGGATGCTGGTAAATTAACAAAGATTGAAACAAAGTTTGAAAACTCAGTTACAGCTCCACATGCAAGTGGAGTCACTGCGGGTACAAGAGCTGGACTTTTCAGAACACCAATATCTGGTGGAGTGCAGAGTGCAACTTCAGCACATGGATTACCCCGACCAGCCTTAGTGGTCCGCAATCTGATGGAACAAGTAAAGGCTATTTTTGAGTTCATGTCTTGAAAAAAAATGATCTATTCTCTTTCTCTTTGTCTCCTTTCCAGTTTTACTGTAATTTGATAGTCCTGTATTTATTGGCCTCTGTAATTTAAGGCCAGATTTGCTCATTTATGCACTATAATGTCTCGGACGCAGCACCGAAGAGAAGGGTATCCCTTTGGCTAGCTGGTAGATTTCGCTTCCGATTCAGTGGGTTGTAAGTAGGCTTCTGAAGTTCTGTTATTTGGTTACTATTTCTTTCCACCATAAATAGCATTTAAACTTTCTTGGTTTCTTTTTTTTTTTGAAGTGAAATAGCCTTCATTACTATGCATTTATCCTTCATGAAAATAGCATACGTTTTTTTTTTGCTATAAATTGGACAGCTGTGTAACGGTAGTTGATTTTGTGTATAAGTTGTTGGTTTTATTTGATATATCTTCGATTGTCAATCTGCAGATCCAATATTTTCGTTTTCACCATGGCTATTCATACGCGGAATTTATTAGCAGACCCTAGATGCACCCTTGTTGTGCAGGTTAATTCTTTTGATCCTTTTGTTCTGATGGAATCTATGGGTTTGTTATTGTTCATGCATTGAAGATGGTTTTACAGATACCTGGGTGGAGTGGCTTATCAAATGCAAGGGTAACAATATTTGGCGATGTCTACCCTCTTCCAGAACATCAACAGGTGCTCACCTAAATTTCTTTTTGCGAGGTCCTCACCTTGGTTATTTTGCTAGGAATGGGCTCATAAACAGTACGCAGCAAAACATCAACAAGGGACGTCACAACAGTGGGGGAATTTCTACTACTTCAGGATGCAGAACATAAGGTCTGCGTCGGTATATAGTATTTCTTATTTCTAATGCCAGCTTAGGCTTCCTTTCTCAGAAAGCCTCTAAGCTAATTATCTATGACCTGCTTTTCTTGCTGATACTTCCGTTTGGAAACTGCTAATATCTATCATACAGTCGTGCACTTCTTATAACATTTAGTAGAGGTTAATTTTTTTGGTGCTGGGGGATGGCTTCTTAGCTCGGCTGTCTTTTGCTCCCTATTACCAGTGGCCTGCCTTAAGAAATGTGGGGATAGTTTTCAAGCTTTTCAGCACTCTAGTCTAACTTGCCCTGGCCAAGTTGATTTGTGAACCGAGTTAATTTTCATATATGACTGCAGTTTTTGCTCTTAATAGGTTTTACTGTTAATAGAAAAGAGCCCGTTTTCATTGAATTTCGAAATCAATGTTCTATAGTTGCCGTGTATGTTTAGTTTGTGGTTCTACTGCCCAAAGACTTGGTTTAACTGAAATTGGTTTGGCATGGAGAAGTAAAGAAATATTTCTGGTGTTTGCTACGATTGTAAGTTTCATTGTGTTGTTAATTACCTTAAGACTCTTGATTTTCTGTGTAGTATATGTGACCTTGTAAAATAACCAGATGCTTTTGGATTCAGAAGCCAGATTAGTGGTGGGATATACCAATTAATTAACATCCCCCTCTTTTATTTGTTTTTCTTTTTCTTTTCATGCATATTAATTTTTTTGAACATTTAGTACTTAATATAATTTGTCATATAATGCACACATTGAAAATATTTATTTATCAAAATTTATTTCAGTGATATATTTCATTGGAGGATTTGGCACCGTTGCATGGATCGATGTAAAGGAATATGAGATGCTTAAACCTGATAAAATTGCCGTTGATGGAGGTGAACAAACCCTGAAGGTGAACCTTCGTAAATTCCAACATTTTCTTTTGTTAGAACAGAAGTTAGACTTTGACTTAAGCTTTCGATGTCATTTTTCCCGTATATTTTCCAGAAACATTGGTACGACTTCCAGGTAAAGTTTTAGATTTATTATTTATAATAATACGTTGGTTAATTCGATTTTCAGTTTTTATAGTCATCAACCAAACTAGCAATGCAATGCAATTCACTCTGACGAGAGCATTCCAAATCCAAATGGTAAAAAAATCCCAGGTCCATAAAAACAAACGGAACAACTGATATTTTTACTCAAATAACAAAATATGAAATTCAATCCCAAGTCATCAGTTCATCAAGTCCTGCTTGCCATTTGCAAACAAAACTTGCTAAAGTATAACGGTCAACGTAAGAGAAAAACATCACGAATCTACTTCAATACCCTTGCTATTGTTTTTCTTTTCCCTTGAACCTTTTGTCTAACACAAAATCCGAAACTGCACGAAACCGGCATTGACGCCTACAAGATAAGACTAACGGCAAAGAAACCTGGAAAAAGCTATACAACGAGTTAAAAGGATAAGAAACGCCACCAGCCTCCTCCATGTTCATCGCTTGTCCTTACCACATCCCCCCAAAATATGAATAGAATAATATGAAGAAAAAAAATATCATAATTTATGCAGTAGGGTAAAAATAGTTTACAGTGCACAGGGTTCTAAACAGGTATGGCACCGTTATTTGATGTGTCTTCACATCTCAATATGATACCCTCAAGGCTAGCTGGGAAGATACATTTGGCCCATTGGCATCCAGTTGTAGTCGGTTCAGGCGGAGGAACAATCATAAGGACGTTTTCATTTCTCTGAACGACTCCCATGACACTAACCGTGCTTCCCTCCTTGATATACCTATAAACATAAGATTGCAATTTCAAAATAGTCATCGTATTCTGCCAAGTACATCCAACCATACTCTACAATGCAAACATAATTGTCTCGCATATGCTTAGAAGTTAGTGCTACAACTATTCTTTGACCTCCAAGCACCCCAAAGAATCTGTCACAACTTAATTGAAAATGAAATTTTTCCCTATTATTTGATTTTAGAATCACATTCCATAGTTAGAGTAACCATATTATATCAAGTTTGGAGGACAATTTCAGGCTCAAATCACTTCAGATTCAAGTTGCTTTGGGTTTAGTGTTTGGAATTTTATCAAGTTCATCTACTTTTTCAGGCAATCATATTATATCAGGGTTTGGTCTCAAACAGTTCTATATGATTTTTCAAGTTGAATTAGATTTTGCCACACCTAGCTAGGCCACCTTACTTCAAGCTTTACTCTCAGATCTGAGTTCATAACAGATAACAAAAATAGTCACCTAATCTCCACAACTAGAAATGAATTGTAGAAGATGACTTCAAAGAATTTGCAAACTCAAGATATTAGCCATCGGTGAAATATAGAGACCCCCGGCATACCATTTATTGTTCCTGCAACATAAGCATTCAATATATGGTGAAACAAAAAGGAGAGAAATTTACCCTTCTTTCAATCGCATTAAACGGTCATCACTTGAAAGGTTCCTTTCTCCCAGCCACATGATGAACTCCGGAGACAACGTTTCGTTGGCTGGGTTGACATCTATAACTATAGAGTCATCCACATAAGGAGTAACTGATGCTCCATTCCCTGTTTTAACTAATGCTCTCAACCCTGACTGGAAATCTGAGATGTAGAAGTCAACTGCACGCCTCTGTTGAAATGCCATCGAAAAGGTTAGATTCAAAAGAGAGAGGAACCTGGAGAATAGTACACATGTCCAACACATTTGCTAGACATGGGTATATGGGGATATTTTTTTTTTATAGAAATTGAAGGCCTCGTTAAAAACCTTCTTCTTCATTAAAGGATCTTGTAAAAAAGCTCCTTAATCAACGGAAGGAGGAAAGAGTGCCTTAAGATTTCATTAAACATAAGATACAACCAAGTCGCCAACCCCAACGTAAACAAACAACCAAAACAACCGAAAAAAACCCTTCACAACAACACTAACACAGCAAAAATGACTGACCAGGACTTAACACCTGAACTTAGCCAGAAAACCAACACAAAAACAGAACAACTAAAACAGAACCCGAATATCACAGCTAACTCAATCCATAAAAGACAAAATCAAAAACAAAACCCTGAACTTCCGCACGAAAAGTGTACAAGAATCAGCTTCCGCCTTGCTGCCTCTTCTTGCTCGACTTGTCGACGGAGACCATCCGAACTACCAACTCCATATAGAAAAAAAATCAATATGATATGTAAAACACATCCATTTTCAACAACCATACCCAATTCAAAGTAAAATATGTACTAAACTACATGTACAATACAAGAAACAAATCTTTTACAAGGAGCGTTAAAATAATTACACACAAATTTTGGCCCATATGCCCAGCTAAACCTATAACCAGAGGGAAATGTACCAGTTCAGAGGATAGTAAGCCAATAAAGCCTTCTTCCTTTTCACTTGTTTAGAGCATAAAAAAATCATCAGCTACTTGAAATTCTAAAATAAGGGCAAGCCTTTATGTGAGTTGTAAATACAAAGAAACTAGGAAATAACATCTTTTTCATTAAAATTCAGGAAAAGGTAATAAAAATTAACCATTCAATTACTTACTTCCAACAATCTAAGTCCCCAGGTAAAACGACGATGTGTAGGATTGGCAGCTTTGGAATCCCATCCTCGATACTCGTATAAACTAGTTGATGTATAAACACATCTTGGAACTTGCTGGAAGGATGACTCAAGAGGAACATTCCCACATGTTACCACCTTCAAAAATAACAACAAAACAATTGATCAATATCATCTACAGATTAACAAGTAGGTAAAATTAAATGATTCCAACAAAAAGCACAGCTACACAAACATAAGCGATCAGTATTGCAATTCCCACTAGTTAGAGGAGTTCAACAGTTACAGAGGACCATACGTGCATAAACAAATGCTGCTGTATGTTCACTGTACATGGTTTTTGATACAATGGGCATTTAGGCCCATGTTAATCAGTAAGACCTTGAGTTGGCAACTTAAGGTCCAATAATATCTTTTAATAAAATACCACACTTCAAACTGTATAGGATCGTGTGATTATAGATTGCTATTTTCCAGTAGCAATTATGAGATTACCATATCTGACATTAAATTAGATTACTTACCCCAGAGATTTTCACGAATTGTCCATTTTTTGCATTCCTAAGCTCTGCATCTGGATAACGAGCAATAAAACCCATAATAGCTTTTTTCCCCCAACAAGAGTTCCAAGCAAATAATGCAGCAACAGTACCAAAAAGGACCACAACAACTATGAGGAGAATCGCATTGTGAACTGCTCCAAGAATAAAACCACCAGCAATGAAACCCATTACAAAGAGCAGTATCAGTGCATATAATATTAGTTTCGGGAAGTTTTTCTTGAAAGAAAAATCATCATTCTGGCCAAGAATATTCACAGCCTGATTATGAACAGCAGAACCTTTCACTTTCATTGATCCCATAGAATCCAAAGGACCAGACACTTTCCGAGGAGCACCAGAGGAATTTAGTGGCCCTGAAGAGATGGGCCCAGATGTAATAAGGCCAGTTGTAGGGAGAACAGGAGGAAGAGGACCAGAATTTTGACGTCCACTTGGCGTCACTCCACCTGATTGTGGACCGGATGATTTCTTCACTGGATCCCCATGTCTATTTAGTGGTCCAGAGTTTGATTTCTTCAATGAAGCTGAACCAGACATGCTTCCAGTAGCAATAGGACCTGATGTGGTATAGCCAGCTCGAGGTGCTGCATTAGGCATGATTGGTCCAGAATGTGAAGCAGCACCCCCAAAAGATCCAGTCCTTGAAGGAGCGCTATTTATAGGTCCAGATTTCCTGGACTTAGAACCATCTGTAGGGATATCAAACATTTTCCCCAGTTCTCCCGACTTCTTAATATCTCCACCAGTATAGGGCATGGCCACTGAGCTCATGGTTGGAGTCCTTTCTTTAGGCTGTTCTGGCCTGCCTGACACATAAAGCCCATTGCTGAGCTTATGAGATGGGAATCTGGAACCCATCTAGCTTCCTACGTACAACACAGAAGATAATTAACAAGAAAGGTTTCTAGTAGTATGCCGATAAGTCGTGTCAAAGCCCTCCTGAAAAAAACAGCAACATAGCTATTAGAAGAATAGTTCCATTCTAATGATTTCACAGATATATGCTGGCATTGAAAGAACCAAGCATAAAAGGATTCTGTCCTAACTGATCAGGTACTCAAAGAAACATTCATATAGCAGCAGGAAAAAAAGCACATATTTACAACATTAATCTTCTATACGAAGAAAGATTGTTACAATTAAGTCAACCACAAAGAAGCAGCACAAGAAATCCAATAATTAATATCATCTCAAAATTTCCATTTGAGCTAAAGCATAAGTTGGTTCAACAGTCAAGTCCAATTTTAGCCAGATCTCTAGAATGTGATGCATCATAAAAACTGATGGCAGCAATGCAGAAATCATGAACATCAATGAAGAAAATACAGTGACAGGAAAAACAATGACAAAGATAATGAAAATTTAAAGGTAAAATTGAATAGACCAACTCGATCAAATTAGTGCACTGGAAAACAGGTTTGAAGATAAGTTAATAGTTGTTGAAAGAAGAATCAAATACCACATTCCCAGTGTCTTCTGATAAAAAAAATAGCCCCTTAAGAATCCCTGTTTGCAGTATTTGCAACCAAAAAGAATTCCCTGCTAACTATAACACTCACCAAAAGACTCCGAAAAACAGATTTAAAGTATAAGAACCATATCTTCTGCTGTTTAATATTCTAAAAGGTTCTATGATGTCCTACAAGCAAGTTTAAGATCTTAATTATGATTGAGCCGAGACAACTTTGGTCTTTGTTTACATATTTTCATAAAAACCTATCTATGCATTCTAGAGCCACCAACTACACATCCCATCTTACTATGTGGAGTTTATCAGCAAAAACAAGTAGAATGGAAGTGAAGAGAACCATGAAGATCTGAAACCATGAAAAAGAACCAGAATATCCTGTTTAGTTCACTAAGATTTTATCGACTAAAGACTATTTATTTTCCTCTTGAATGGTTTAAAAAGATTAAGGAACTACGAAATCAAACTATAAGTAAAATAACTCGGATTCTACAAGAAATCATTAACATCTTCACTAAAAGGACAAACCCAAATAATAAAAAAACACTAAGCATACCTAGATCACGATTCGAAACAAAACCAATGAATAGATTGATATCCAAGGCGGTAGTAACAGAAGTTCCCAAAGATCAAATATGTCGATTCAATATTTTCAGGCTTCTTTTATGGCTAGCAATAAAAAATTTATTGTCGATTGCCATACTTTATAATTAAGAAATATACCATACAAAAAGACAGCCAAAGAAGCAAAATGACAGCCCAAATCACAGGAAAAGAAGGAAAGTGAATCCGCATCATATTTTCTTTTCCCAAAAGAGATTAAAAAAGTCTAATATAAACAAGCAGAGATTTTCAAGCTGAAAGAGTGAAGCTCAATGTATGGTAAAAATTAAAATACTTAATTACATAAAAAATTCCTTAGCCTACACTTTTCCTCAACAGACCCATACAGAAAAGATACAAGGAAGATGAAAAAATGGAATTTTTTTGCTTAACAACACCCTTAAGAAAAAGTAAAATCAATGTCTAGGTAACAAAATAAAGCAAACCCAGATCACCATTTTGAAAAAAAAAAAGCAATAACATGGGGTAGATCTGAGGAAAATGAACAAGCTTTTCAAAGAGTGAAAAGAATATGAAGACAGAGAGACATACCAGGAAGTGAAGAAGTGGATGAAATCAGGAGATTTGGAGACATTATACGAGTAAAAGAATAATCAAACATAACAAAACAAAAACAAGACAATCCCCTCTCTCTACCTCTAAGTTTTAGCTGTTTACTGTTTTTTTTTCTTCTTCTCCTCTCTTTTTGTTTTATTGTTTTTTACTTTAAGTTTAAGAACAGCAGAAAGTTTTTTTTTTATTATTATTATTCTTGGTATTTCAATATTTTAGACTTCGAGACTTGAAAGAGCCGCAATGCAGCAACAGGTGGGTTGTCTCATCCGACAACTTCTCCAATATTTTTAAGGGTAAAGTATAGTAATGTTCATTTAATTTTTTTAAAATTTGTGTTTAGGTCTTTTAACTTTCAAAACTTGCAATATAGTCTTTTAATATTTAGTCTGTTTGTAATATGGTCTTCGACGTAACCGGCCGTATGACGCCGTTTGCAATATGGTAATTGAACCTTTCTGGCGCTTGTATTTAGGTCCTCCAACTTTTAAAATTTGCAACACAGACCTTAATTTCATTTTAAACTCCAAATTCTAAAATAATTCAATTAAATTTTAAACCCCATATTCTAAAATACTTCAATTTAGGATTTAGAATGTAATTAAAGTATTTTGGAATCTGGGGTTTAGAATTTAATAAGTGTTTTAAAATTTTGAACATGAATTTGCTATTTGACAGTGTTTACTTTAATATAAATTTGAGGTTTATTACATACACAACCAACGGCTGCCGCACTTTGAACATGAAAAGTACACCTATCACGGTTATTGCATAAACCGTTGAAGTAAAAGTAACAAGGTCAATTTATCTTGTTCGTAGTTGCAACACTTTGGTATGACAATCCAATAGGTTTGGATGGAACTTGAGCATGCACATCCAACGGCTGCGAAAATAGTAAAGAGTTTTAGTTCATAGGACTACAACATACAACCAATCAATAACTAAAATAAACCAATAATATCAATTAATAACTCATTCAAAATGAGGACTTAATAAATAAAGGGAAAGAGGTTCGGTCATAGTCACTCCAAAAGCTAAGGCGTCAAATAGGTTGTTTAAGATAAACATTAGATGACAAATACAACATTACCAGTTGCAAATACATTAATGGCCTACTCTTTTAACATATAATTGCTTCTAATGCTCCATGTTTAATGTTCCTCAATAGCCAAACATGATGAGAATCTAAAGCAGATAGCGGAACTAAAATCATAAGACCCCATAATTCTTGTAAATTCATGGAATGTCAGCAATAAAAGACATTGTAAAATATAGAGGACACTGCAAGAAACATATATATGCCAGAAATGAAGGTGCAAATGTGCAATGACAGGGCAACATATCAAGCAGTTGCTCCAAATATACTACCATGTCATGATGTCTTTCGAGTTATGTGCATGCAGAATTGTCTTCTAAAGTTACAATTCAATACATATTAAACTGTAAAATTTCCAAAACATGTAAAAAAAATTCAATTCGTTCACGATATATCAGTCTCATAATCAACTTTTAAAACTTATTAAAAAGAATATGAGCTCACAGGACGCCGAAAACCATCGGTCGGATCAATACAATTCCAGTAAACTAGTACCAGCAGTCTTTCGGATTGAGCCTGGTGATTTCACTATGTTGATACTCACAACCAATTCCCTGATTTAAAGAAAAACCAAACAAGAAGATCAAAACAATTTAGCCTATGATCCTCTTTCACTTCTATTCTGATGGACTGAATATCTTTCATAAGGAGTACTGAAAGTTTTGATTAAGAAGAAAAAAAATAAAATTAAATGGTTTTGGTTCAAAACTAACACTGAATATCCAGATCCTTGACATGCAATTCCAGAAACATAAAAATTTCAACAAAAAACACAAAATGCGAGCTGAAAATGGGAAAGTGCGAAAGAGGAGAAGTGTTAGGATTTTCGGAAGCTCGAATCGACAACCGGAATGGTTTGCAAAAAGGGGTCGGAACGGTTTTGTGTTTAGGGAGTAAGGAGATTGAAAGATAGAGAATTGCACAGCGATTTATAGTGGTTCGACTTTCTCAACCAAAGTCTACATCCACTACCTTAACTCCTCACCAAGGATTTTCCAACAAATTCATTAATTTGTTCTTTCTTTTGAGGATAAAGAGTAACCTTACAAACTCCCTAGTTTTTCCGGGCTAAACTAGAACCTTTCCCTAGCTTTTACACGTGATAAGCTATAACATTTCCTCTTTACAAAAGGATAAAATAAGTAAACAAGAAAACCTCTCAAAGGTATGTGTTTACAATATTGAGCTCACAAGAACAAAATATTTACAAGAGAAAGATGAAATAAGATTGAAAACTCTTCTCTTGTGTTTGATTGCTTGGATAGTTGTTCTCTTACTTCTTCAAGTGTCCTTAGCTTGTATTTATAGCTTGGAATGTGTTTGAAGTCGTATATAGTCGTTGGGGATGTTTTGGAGCTGTTTGGGGGATGAGAAACAATTAATAAAACATCTTGGAGCGTAGGGGGAATCGGTACCCCCTCATGGGGAATCGGTTCCCTAAGTGCAATTTGTTTTTGACCATTAGACAGGGGGAATCGGTACCCCCTGGGGGGAATCGGTACCCCCTGGGGGGGAATCTGTACCCCTTGGGGGGGGGGGAAATCTGTTCCCCCTGGGGGGAATCTGTACCCCCTGGGCAATCTGATTTTTCTTGGCTTTGAAACGGTTCGAAATACTTAGTAAGGATTAAAATGAACTTTGAAAGACTTGGAGTAATATTTTGATATTCGAATAATTACATCGAATATACTTAGAAAATCTTTTGTAAAATCTTAAAATTCATTTAACTTAATTTGTTATATCGAAACATCAAAATGTTTTCAACAATCTCTCCCTTTTTGATATAACAAAACATTTGAGTAATTTTAAGATTTTGAAATCAAGTTTGAAATTACTCCCCCTTACTTTAACACTTCTCCCCTTTAACACCTTAACACTTCTCCCCCTTTTTGTTAAATCAAAAAGACTCTAATCTTTGAAGTTCAAAATAACTTTGGAGAGTAAGTAATAAATTTGACATTTTAAAAATCATTTGAAAAAATCAAAGCTCCCCCTCAATAAATGCATTCCAAATAAAATTATGTTTTTAGGATCTCGACACTTAAACAAAATTGAATTTCAACAAAGAATAACAAACATGTTAGTAGCACATGAAATTTAATACATCGAAGTCTAAAATACTTTATGCAATACTAATAGTTGAAATTTGATATCAATATCAATTGTTAAAATTAAGTGCATATGCATAAAGTTTTCCCAAAATGTTATGCATTTTGAAAATTTTGATATCAATTGTTAGAGAGATATCATTTTCATTTAAAACACATGCATAAACATTCAAATTTAGGTCAAAAATTTTAAAATTTGTAAAATCAAAGTATTTGAAAAATTAACATCAATTGTTAGAGAGATATCAATTGCATTAAAACCAATTTTGACCAAAATTTTATTATGATGAACTAAAAATTCTTAAAAATTAATATAACTTTAAAATGTTCATCATAATCATCTTTTCAACATACATGAGATTAAAACAATGATGCATAATCATTTAAAAACAAAACTCATGCATGCTTAAAATTAAATGAGCAATCAAATAACCAAAATTAAAAGCATTAAGCTTAGAGGTTACCCATTCATTTTTCATGTGTGGCTGGAGCATCTTGGATATCATCACTCTCATCACCATTGCTCCCACACACCTACAAGAGACATTTAAGTAGATTTTGGTATCCAAATTGCTTTGGATCCTTGGACATTAGTTTCAATGCCCCTTGTTCCTTTCGGAACCCATACTTGCCTAATTTTAAAACGTTTTCCTTTCTTCAAAGGACAAGTATGTTACATATGACCATAATAATGACAATGTGAGCATTTTGTCATATTTAAACATAATAGTTTGTTTTTAGAAATTAATTCTTTTTTTATTAAGCTTTCAAACTTAACATCTAACTCAAAATTTTATTTTTCTAAATCATTTATTTTGATTTTTGAAAGCTCTAAATTATTTTTCAAAATTTCATTTTGATTTTCAAAATCAACTTTTGCTTTCAAAATAAAATTATCTTTATTTTTGAGTTTTGAAATTAATTTCGTATATTTGGAATTCATGCCTTATTCCCCTTTTTCTTTAGAAGAGGACATTCATACATGACATGCCCATTTCTTTGACAATTGAAATATACCGGGGGACTCTTCTTCTTGGTTGATTCATGTTTCACTTCCTTGGAAATCATGAATCTCTTGAGTTCCTTCAAGAGCTTGACCATCTCTTCATTTTATTCATCATCGTCTTCATCCACCTCATCATTTGAATCTTAATAGCTTTCATTGATACCTACGTCCTCATTCTTCTTCTTATTTTTCTTCTCTTCCCTTTTTTTTCCTCTTTCTTCACCATCATCTCATGAGTGAGAAGGGAACCAATTAGCGCATCGAGAGTGAGAGACTTTAGGTTTCTTGCTTCGATAATGGTCGTCTTCTTTGATTGCCACTCATTTGGAAGAGAGTAAATCATCTTCCTCACAAGCTTTTCATTTGGGATTACTTCTCCATATCCCTTGAGATCGTTGACAATCACGGAAAATCTATCCGTCATACCTTTGATGTCTTCATCAGGTTTCATCTTGAAGTTCTCGTAGCTATGGTTGAGAAGACTTTTCTTTGATTCCCTCACTTCGTCGGTTCCTTCATGAGTGACTTGGAGTTTATCTCAAATCTCTTTGGCACTGGAACAGGATGAGACTCTTCCATATTCATTTGGGCCTAAAGCACAAAATAGAACATGTATAGCCTTAGAATTAAGCTGAAAATTTTTCTGCTATTCTCTACTCCAATCATTGTACTTTCCGGGTGGAGAGGAGTAACCGTCCATGATTGAGTACCAAGCTCCTAGATTGTAGGATTGAATGAAGTACATCATCTTATTCTTCCAATGTGCATAATTTGCTCGATTGAAGAAGGGTGGCTTGTTGACCGGTTGTGAATCCATAATAGGATATTCTTCAATATAATAAGACCGAAGGAAAAAGTCATTTCTTTGTCGATTGCATCGAGAATTGGTAAATCTTCTTCGAGGATCGTCTCAAGGTGGTTAAACCTTATTAATGAGTTAGGCTCTGATGCCAATTGTTAGGATTTTTGGAAGCTCGAATCGACAACCGGAACGGTTTGTAAAGAGGGGTCGAAATGGTTTTGTGTTTAGGGAGTAAGGAGATTGAAAGATAAAGAATTGCACAGCGATTTATAGTGGTTCGACTTTCTCAACCAAAGTCTACGTCCACTACCTTAGCTCCTCACCAAGGATTTTCTAACAAATTCACTAATTTGTTCTTTCTTTTGAGGATAAAGAGTAACCTTACAAACTCCCTAGTTTTTCCAGGCTAAACTAGAACTTTTCCCTAGCTTTTACACGGGATAAGATAGAACCTTTCCCTTTTACAAAAGGATAAAATAAGTAAACAAGAAAACCTCTCAAAGGTATGTGTTTACAAGATTGAGCTCACAAGAACAAAATAGTTACAAGAGAAAGATGAAATAAGATTGAAAACTCTTCTCTTGTGTTTGATTGCTTGGATAGTTGTTCTCTTACTTCTTCATGTTTCCTTAGCTTGTATTTATAGCTTGGAATGTGTTTGAAGTTGTATATAGTCGTTGGGGATGTTTTAGAGCTGTTTGGGGATGAGAAACAATTAATAAAACAGCTTGGAGCATGGGAGGAATTGGTTCCCTAAGTGCAATCTGTTTTTGACCGTTAGACAGGGGGAATCGATACCCCCTGGAGGGGGGAATCTGTTCCCCCTGGGGGGGGAATCTGTTCCTCCTGGGGGGAATCTGTTCCCCCTAGGGGTAATCTGTACCCCCTAGGCAATCTGATTTTTCTTGCCTTTGAAACGGTTCGAAATACTTTGTAAAATTGTTTTAAAAATAATTTAAGTATAAAACACAATTTTACACTTTAGTAAGGATTAAAATGAACTTTGAAAGACTTGGAGTAATATTTTGATATTCGAATAATTACATCGAATATACTTAGAAAATCTTTTGTAAAATCTTAAAATTCATTTAACTTAATTTGTTATATCGAAACATCAAAATGTTTTCAACAAAAAGCCTACTTCTGGATAGCTCAAAAGAGAAAATAAATACCTTCTTGCAAGTGAGGGAAGAAGCTAAGAAATAAACGCAATCAGTGTTGCGTTCCATCAATTTTTCCTCCATTTCTTTCTTTGTAAATAAAAAGCTGAAAGCCAGAGCACTGTTTGGGTTTACAATTTTACATGGTGGAAAACTGAAGCAGAAAAAAACCAAACAAGAGTGCATGTGAGCGAAAGAGACTGAGAGGTGAAGGCGTTGTTTGAGATTTCATTATATTTGAACATCAGTTGGAAAATCTTTAACCACAAGGATTAAACGAAGAAATTATTATATGCCATTTATACAAAAATAATTCCAGCTTTGTTGGTGATTTTCAACAATGATACTTAGTTAATCTTAGTAGTATTTGTCAACTCTGCATTTCTAACCCCATTTTTTTTCTCACAAGCATTTCATCGAACATCTATGCTTCACTTGAGATGACCTGTATATAACATTACACCTTGAATCGTTGATGGTCCCGATAGTCCTTTGGTCGAGTCTTCTCTCAATGGACCATTATTCAAGTCAACACCTCCACAAAATTCAAAGTTAGATTAGAATTTCCCATGCATCCCCAACTGAAAAGTTACGTTGGAAATGAGAAGAGAGAAACAAAAAAGGAAATTCGAGATCGAAAAGGAATTTGGGGTTTAGAATAAAATTGATGAATGTGTTGTAAGTTTTAAAAGTTGGGGGACCTAAATGCAAGCGCCTGAAAAGTTTAGTGACTATATTGCAAACAGTCAGTTACGTCGGGGACCATATTGCAAATGGACTAAATGTTGGAGGACTGTATTGTAAGTTTTAAAAGTTGAGAGACCTAAATGCAAGCTTTAGAAAAGTTCAGTGACCATTACTAAATTTTACCCTATTTTTAATTATTTTATTAATAAATTAATTTATGAACGTACCACGGGTTAGCTTTATTTTTTAAAAATAAATAAATTTTAGACATATAAATTAATGTTATTAAACCATTTACATGTTCAACATCTATGAACATAAAATACAGAATATATAATAAGGATATTAAACTAGTTTTTTATATTGATAAATTCAAAACAAGTGAGATATTTTTTTAGGTAGAATAAAATATTGAAACGATAATATAAATAATATTCAGCATATCAATAAAATGTTAAAAATAATAGAAAATTCATTACACCAACTATCAGTTGGTATGTAGGATGATGCACTAAATCCCCTACGTAAAGTCAGATGTTTCCTGACGTTTGCAAATGAAGTAAATTGTGTTGAGATAATCGCTCTCATCTCTATAATATCTAATCTGAATTAGTCGATTAATAGATTCAATACCAATAATTATAAAAAAAAAATAAGAAAGTTCATTACTTCAAAGCAAATTATTTTAATATGCGCCATATTTATTTAACGTGATTGTTTTCATACACTTAAAATCTACACTGATTGAGATTATTTATTAAATAAAAATAATAATAGATATATAATTAGGGGTGTGCAAATCTGGGTACCAAATTTTCGGATACCCAAATCTTCGAGTAATTAATATCTCAGACCGTGTCCCGACTCGAATGTTGCGGATACCCAATAATCGGGTACCCGGTAGAGCACAAGGTTCTTAACATTGAGGTCGTGGGATCGAGTTTCACGGAGGGCATTTCATAATTCGGAAGTCTCCTACGGAAGCTGCTCTCAACCTGGTGTCGGGGGCAACCTACTATCTTACCTCCCCCTTACCCCATTACATATGGGAACAAGGGTCAACCATTTATATATAATAATATATAATAATATATTATTTATAATTATATATATAATAATATAATATTATTTTATATATATATAAATTCCTAACCAGGTACTCGGGTAACCCGGAAAAATTCAATTTTGTGACCCGGGCCTGACCCTGAAAATGTCGGGCCGGGTACCCGACCTGACCGGGTAAATTTTTTTAGAAAATTACCCGATTTTTTAAAGTTTAGGTCGGTGGGTCGGGTCAACCGGATCGAATATTTTTACACACTCCTAGATATATTACTATATAAAATAATTTTATCTATTTCGTGAATATAATGAAGGTTAATTTAAATAATATACGTTATAATTATAATTTACTCGTATGTATATTTTTTCTTGATGTTAATTTTTTCTGAGCTGGACATTTGCTGCAAAACCGAGTGAAACTAATATTAAATTATAAGCGCCCAAAAGTATTAAATTTTAGAGAAAAAAAAGTTAATTGAGTCACATGTCCCTAAACTAAATCCCTCATTTTAAATTGGTCCTTAAACTTTTGAATATTCTAATTTTAAACCCAAACTATGACTCTCATTCTAAATTAGTCCTTAAACTTTTGAACATTCTAATTTCATCCCTAAACTATGACACTCTTTCTAAATTGGTCCCTAGACCTTTGAATATTTCAATTACATCCCCAAGTTCATCTAAATATATAATTAGTTTCAACCATAGTTTAACTTGAATCTTATTTTTTTTGAAACATATAGTAATATAACTTCTCCTTACGATTTTATTAACAAGGGATGTAATGAGTATATACATATAGTTTGTGATGAAATTGGAATGTTCAAAAAGTTTGGAACCAATTTAGAATGATAGTCATAATTTAGAAATAAAATTGGAAAATTTAAAAAGTTTAGGGATTAATTTAAAATAAGAATCATACTTTGAGGACATGTGATGCAATTAGCTCTAGAAAAATGTTAGAATAAAATTAGTCAAAAGATTTTAAATTAAATGTTGCAACTTGCTGAAAATAAATTATTAATCCGTGTATGACTAAACGACGTATTGTTACTCTCCGCACTTTCTGATAGATATGATATTCCCGCAACAAACGTCGTCGTTCAGTTCCTGAACTGGATATCTTTTCTGAATATTTAAAGGTTTCAGGAGTGAAATACTTGCCCTGGTTTATAAATTGCATAAATTTTGCTTTTCCTTGTAGAGATGGTAATTTGATCTAAATTTGATGAGATATGATCTGATTTAATTTGATAAGATCTTAATTTTTTATTAAAAAATAATAAAATTAAATTCGAGACGTATTTTATAAAAGATGAAGTCGGATAAAATTATATTCAAGTTTAAGTAAAAAAAATATTTGATCTGACTTAACCCGATGGTCCTACTAATTGAATAGGAAAAAATGTTCCATCAAATACATTAATCGATTTGCTAATGGTTTCATGGCACTTGCTTGTACATGATTAGAGTTTGTTTGGGTTTGCCACATTTATTTTCTACTCAAAGCTGAATGATTCCTACTATGGTTCGAACAGGCATTCAACAAGCAATAATCAGTTGACATGGAATCAGGAGCAGCAACTGCAGCATTTTTGCACCAACCATTCTAACCTGTATTCCACAAAATGACTACTGTAACTTGGAGTCGAAAATACAAAAGCTACCAAATGGTAAACACATAAGTACTTTGTTTTTTTTCTTTTCCATCTTTGCTATTATGGTGAAGATTTATGCACGACTATATGGTACAATTTCAGATGAAAGTAAACAGAAGTGTAGGCAGTGAGGAGTTTTTAAAGGAAGAAATTGAGAACTTACAAGTCCTTAAGACATGAACTTTGGTCTTCCAATTCATCCGGGGCTTTCCCGTCCAGTGAAAAAGCTGACGTTACTCGTGCTGGAGTGGACGTCTGGTTAAAATGCAAAAGAGGCAGGTTTTCAGCTGAAGCGTGGCCGGAAGTAGGCGGTGAAGGAGTCAGGGAAGGCGAGAACAAGTAGTTTCTGTTGCCGGGTCCGATGCTAATTGGGAGAGGTGATGGTGGAGATGAAGCGGGAGATACGTAACCATTCATCAACTGTTCCATCACACAAAAGATCTGGCTGTTTCTTTCCCAGAGATAATGGGAGTCTGGTGGTTGTGTCTGTCATGCGAAATGGATGCTCGTCTGTTCAAAAGAATTTGGCCAATTTAGCCCAGACTTCTCATTTGAAGCGTAGGTGTAAACCTAATGGTCAATTGGTCATGCCTCACCCGTCAGTTGCACTCTCCCCATTCTCCCTAATCTTCATATATATATATTATCATAATAGTGACCCAAATTTGGTTTTTTAATTTATTGATTTGAAAAAAAAAACTCAGAGATTAATACTAACAGAGAGCATGACGGATTTTTAACAATGGGTCATAGTCACCTGGCATTTTGGCACAATCAAATAACATTCATGTCTTGGCTCTAATGAACTCACTGTTTTAACCATAGCAAACACCTCTGACATTGTAGGCCTCAAAGATATTGCTGGGTTTGATGTCCCTGTGGATGATGCATGCATGAAATTGCTCGTGTAAATAAGCTGTTCCCTTTGTTGTTCCTAGTATTTTCTCACATCTCCGTTTCCAATCCAGAGAACCATGCCCTTCACCTGTTCGTCGAATTGCAACAAACAAAATCTGGTTTGAAGATTCATAGTCAAACCTAAAATTCTAGTCGAGCTTTAAATATTAATTTTCAAAGTTAGATTATATTTAAATCTAAACTTTATTTGGATACCAACTTTTTAATATATTAGTCAAAAGTTTTCATTTTTTTAACTCACGTCGTAGGTTTAAATCATAAAATTTATTTATTTGTGATTTTTATATAATTTATTATCGTAAAAGCATACAGAATAAACATTTAATAAATGAGAAAATAACCTCAGTGATCAAAAAACTCATATAATATACGATTTTAACCAACTTTTTTCGAATTTACCAAAATGACCAACAAAATCGCAATGCGATCGCTAATTCGCATCGCGATCTCCATTATCGCAAATCAGTTTCCAGATTCGCAACGCGATTATGACTATCGCAATGCGATTTTCCAATTTCGCGTTGCGATTTTCCCAATTCGCAATGCGAATAAGTAAATCGCAATGCGAATTTGGAAAATCGCAATGCGATACTGACTATCGCAACGCGATAATACAAAATCGCAACGCGATACTAACTTTCGCAATGCGATTCTGACTTTCGCAACGCGATTGTGACTTTCGCAACAAGATTCTGACTATCGCAACGAGATAATACAGAATCGCAATGCGATTTTCAAAGTTCGCAACATGTTTTAGTTTCGCAACATTCTTCTGAGTGGGACATACCAGATGACTTACAAATAGTTTTGCCACCAGCCATGGACATAAGGCTACCTGGCCGACCAAAAAGTCACGATCGTATACCGTCTAAGGGTGAAGAGAAGAAGAGATCGACATGTAGTCGGTGCAAGGAAAGTGGTCATACAAGGTTGACATGTGGTTCACCAGTGCCATCACAATCATCTTTTCCTCTACCAAAATATGGATCCTCATCAAAATCCAAAGCTCATATGGTGTCAAGCAAAAGGCAATCAAAATCGCAATCATCTTCAAAATCTCAATCACAACCGGCTTCACCTTTTGGGACTGTTAACTTAGGTGATTTTTAAATGCAAACGTTGTATTATGTGTATTTTATGTGTGCACTTTTAACATTTTCAGTTAGGCATGTATTAGTAACTTGAGTTTGAACATTGCTATGATATGTTCAGTTGTTATCACTTATTAGACATTCATTTGACTATCGCAACGGGGAAATCGCAACGCGAAAATGGCTATCGCAACGCGAAAATGGCAATGCGAAATGAAAATCGCATTGCGATTTTCTCGTTGCGATTTTCATTTCGCATTGCGATTCTCTCGTTGCGATAGTCAGTTTCGTGTTGCGACAGTCTGTTTTGCCTTCAACATAATGCAAATTGAAAATCAACAAATCAACTATTACATTCCAATCAATTAAACAAGCACAAATAAGAATTATATACACATCAATTAAACAAATCAACATTTACAAATCATTTTTTACAAATCAATTAAACAATCAAAAAATAATAATAATTCTTATTTCCTTATCAATTATTGAATCAATGAATCAATTTTTGCACTCGTACATCCATTTCACGCAGCTCACTTAAGGATTAACCTGCAGAAACCAAACATTTGCTCAAACAAGACTTCCTACACATCTAAAACCTACAAACAACAAATTATTGAATTCTAGGTACTTAACCAAACATTTTCAAACCAAAAGGAGTATATATGTTAAAAAAACTTGCATTTGACTTACCAATTAACAATGGATACTTTCATAGGATGCAGGTAGGCATCGTCTCGAATATATCGCTCTAGCCATATAATACCGAAACCACAAGCCTACTACAGCTCTATCTCTATCGGTGGGAGGTAGAAACTCTGTGCTTCCCGTCGTCAAACGCGCTAAGCACATGCATACGAGAGGACCACAATCCCCTCTGGCTCTCGGCGATTGTTGTGGCGCGGTCTCGTCTCTGACAACTGTGACATTGAACTTCTTTGGCTTCTTGTGTCCAGAATGAGTCCAATAATTAATCCCATCCAAGAATTTAGCCAAATGAGAGCTCCATCCCTTGATAATATCTCTCAAATCAGACAGTGATATGTAATTTATCATGCTGTCATATACTATTATCTTCAGGGATGGGAGCTGAAGTTGGACGAGAAGCCAATGACGACGTTCCAAAACAGGGATAAACACCTGCAATCATAAGTTATAATTCATTTATTTGCGCACTTATTTATGAACACCTTTAAAAAAATTATAAAAAATAAACACTAACCTTATCGACCTCCCACCATGCAGGATAAAGTTTAGCTTGTCCATTGCCCAACGAAAATGATTCATCTCGTTGATTCTTCAAGTGAACTGCGTGAAAAGCCGCCAGCATTATTGTATATCGCTAATTTTTTTTATTTTTCCTAAGCTTCCTTATTATTAGAAGACGTGACACCCACGCATCGATATGTTGTTTTACAAAAAAAGACATATATTAGTGAATTACATTAATTTTTAAAAAAATTAATCAAAATCATATATAAGACAAATATAAGACTTACCTCCCCATCGAAATAGCCACTGTCTTCAACCCCTAATAACACACCCCACCAAGACCGATTAAGCAACAAATACATCTCATCGTTGAGTTTGCTTATGTTAGTGTAACACCCTTGGCTCCGCTCATGTAGATAAAAATCAACTGCGGTCTTAGCCCAAAGGGTATTATCCAGAATTATTTTCGGTAGTTGTCTCCTCTCCACTTCAGATACCGGAAGGGTACTAGTCGGTAACTCATACGAGAGCCAACTCTCATCCATCATGTCCGGTAACGGTAGGGGTTTCTCAATAATTCGATATATTACCCCATGTGAATCGAGCTCTGGAATGGTGGGAGGGACCTATTCAACGATGACAGTGGCCTCTTGAATGGTGGGGGGGACTCTTGAGGGATGATAGGGGTCTCTTGAACGATTGGAGGGGACTCTTGAGGGATGACAGGTGAGTCGGACTTCTTCTTGCGGAGTCTTCGCACCATTGGGTTGAACGGAGACGTAATAGCATGTGCACGCCGTCTGATGCGTGAACTTCGTCGTGCAAGGAAAACCCAACGTAAAGCATCCACCTTATCGGGCCGCTAAAAAAAATTAATACATAAATCAGTAAATAAACAGACATGATATTAAACAAAGACAAATATGTTTCAAACTTGCATTGTATTCACCTAAGTCATTATTCTATCATAGTTCACAAAATGCATCAGATAACATTCCAGAAGTAAGCACTTATATAAAAATTTAAAAGGACAACATATATAAACATTCAAGAAGAAGAATAGTTTACTTTCGCAACACGAAACTTACTTTCGCAACGCGAAAATGACTATCGCAACGCGGAAATGACTATCGCAACGCGGAAATGGCTATCGCAATGCGAAATGAAAATCGCAACGCAAAATCGCAATGCGAAATGAAAATCGCAACGCGAAACACAAATCGCATTGCGATTTTCATTTCGCGTTGCGATTTTCATTTCGCATTGCGATAGCTATTTCCGCGTTGCGATAGTCATTTTCGTGTTGCGAAAGTAAACTATTCTTCTTCTGCAAATTGAAACTTGAATGGATTGCATTACTTCAACCAAAAGACAAAAACAAAACCAAAAACAAATACTAACAAAAACAGTTTAGCAGTATTGGCAGCAACCGAATGAATTTATTAAGCAATCTAAGTGAAATGGTTAATCTAAGTGAAATTACGAGTAAATTTATCATCAAGTTAAATATGAAAAATCTTAAACTTACCTCGTTGCGTAGAGTATGAACCTCATTCTGCAACGATGCTACCATTTCACGTAGAGCGGCTACCTCACCGCGTAAAGTAGACACCTCAACACGCCATGCACCATCGTCTTTGCGTAAAGTACCGACCTCCTCACGCAAGGCATTGACCTCATCACGTAACTCCCCTAACTCATCCCGTGGAGGTGGAGAACAGGGAGATGAACGTCGTGGCATCTTTGCCGGTCGCCTATCTTGCGGTGATGGTGGAGAAGAGGCTCGATGATGTGACAGAATAGGTGATGGCTGTCGTTGTGGAGGTGTATAGTCGGGTCGATCAGATGATGGCTCTGGGTGAGGTGATAGCTCTAGGTGAGGTGATGGCTCCCGAAGTGGAGGCTGCTCATCATCCGTGCCATCAAAAAAACTCTTACTAGCTTGCCACCAATCAGTGGCAAGCTCAGCTTCCGTGGGTGTCAGCCTCTGTAATGGAGTGTTGGCCTCCTAACAATATAAAAGCTCAAACAAAGTTAAACGTGTACTAGTAATAACTTGTTTATAAACATAAGGTAGTATTTATGTTAACTTACATTATTTATTGTCGTATACCGTAGTAAATCTTCCCATTGCAAGGTCCGTTTCCTCTTCCAGGAAATAGCCATGGGAATATCATTTGAAGTTTTTATTGCATATGTCTTCATGGCGGGAAAGGCCTCAAATATCCAAATCTACAAACAATATAATAACAAATATTAGTAATTGTTAAATAATTACTTATAATTTTGGAAACATTATATAAAAATTCTTACCTTAAAGGCCCAAATAAAGCCTGTCAAAGTGTATTTGGAACCATCGCCATGCAAATTTTTTCGATCATCCAAGGCAGACGATAACTTATTCCATGTAGCTTTCCATAAATACGAGCCCCACGGAAATAGGTTCCACGCATTTAGGTCTTCTACCAATTTGATTAGATCATTCGGAATAGGTTGTCTGGCCTCTCTGCCTAAAAAGCCGGCATGCAAAAGTATTAGAAGGCATACTCAGACAACATCGACGTCATCCATCCGAGTAAAATCATCTTTCTTATTCAATAATCTCGTCAGGTCTTCCACGTGTAGATTCGGCCTCTCCAGCTCAGGAAAAACCCGGGATAACCATGATGGGCGGGTAATGTGTCTAGTGTACCGACCTACATCATCGTGTCCGAAGCGTAGACCGGTGATTAAGCAAAACTCCTCCCGCCCAAAACACGTATACGCCGGTGGAAAATCAAATCATATCTCTTCATCACGACGTTGTATAGTATCTGTTAGATCCCTAGTCATGGTTTGAAGAAACAGGTGTGTCAACATCGCATCTCCACCGGGATGTTATACTTTCAGCCATGGCCCGAAGCAAGTATCCTCAAACATTTTTCTTTGTGCAGGTGAAAGCTTCGACGCAATTGTTTTGGCCAGGCTGACTTTATTTCTTAAGGTCAATTGAGCCGAATAAAAGTTCTACAAAAACAATAAACATACTAAGTTAGATATACCAAAAACTACACTGTGAAGATATACCAAAAACAATAATAAACATAAAGAGTAGTAGTTTATTCTTCAAACTTAAATTTGCAACACTGTGAATTTCTTATTTGTCTTTGTTTTTTGGTTGAAGTAATGCAATTCATTCAAGTTTCAATTTGCAGAAGAAGAATAGTTTCTGAAAATGAAAATCGCAACACGAAAATGACAATCGCAACGCGAATTTGACTATCGCAACGAGAGAATAAAATCGCATTGCGATTTTGTCGTTGAGATTTTCATTTCGCGTTGCGATTTTCATTTCGCGTTGCGATTCTCGGTTGATTTAATAAGCAATCTAAGTGAAATGGTTAATCTATTATTGAATTTACCAGTAAACTTATCATCAATTTCAATATGAAAAACCTAATAATAATGCAAAAATTTCAAAAAGAAAATAATTAAAAAAGCTAACCCTCGGTGGTTGATTTGGTTGATTTTCCATTTCTGATTATGAGGGTGGCTCTGAGAGATGGAGATAGACGGATTTCGCCGGAGATGGAGACATATTTCGTCGGAGATGGGTGAGAGAGTGAGAGATAGAGATGGGACTGAGTTGTGATTTTAGGTTTTAGGTTATGAGTTGCGATTACGGGATATACTGTGGACGGTTCAATGTTCCAATATATTAATATTCGTATTTGGAATTTGAAAATAAAATACGCTTTGCGATACAAATGACGCTTTGAAAATCGCATTGCGATTATGTATTATCTCGTTGCGAAAGTCAGTATCGCGTTGCGAAAGTAAGTATCGCGTTGCGAAAGTCAGTATCGCATTGCGATTTTGTATTATCGCGTTGCGATAGTCAGTATCGCATTGCGATTTTCCAAATTCGCATTGCGATTTACTTATTCGCATTGCGAATTAGGAAAATCGCAACGCGAAATTGGAAAATCGCATTGCGATGGTAATAATTGCGTTGCGAATCTGGAAACTGATTTGCGATAATAGAGATCGCGTTGCGAATTAGCGATCGCATTACGATTTTGTTGGTCATTTTGACAAATCCGGAAAAAATTTGTTAAAATCGTATATTATATGAGATTTTTGGTCACTGAGGTTATTTTCTCTTTAATAAATTACCTATATAAAATTTTCATATCACAAATAAAAGTTAAACCTTCTTCATCTTTTTTCTTTAAAAGAAAAGACCGTGGCCTGGTGAGGGGGGCATGGACGCCTCTAACTATGAGCCCAAGAGTAAAAAAACTGATTTACTGCATCCTATAAAAACCCCAAAACCTCGGGCCGGGAAAGAAATCAAATTTCTGTTCATATTTTCAGTCTCTCCTCTCCTACCCTGCGAAATCAGCTTGGGGATATTTCAATTGATTTTAGAATCTTCGAGTTCAACTTCGAATTGATCATCCAAAAAACGTTTTTCTTTTCAAATCAGTACCCGTAACCCTCAAAGGTGAGAGATTATTTTGATTTTAGCTAACTTTTTTCTAGGGTTTGGAAGTTTGATGTTTATTCGGATTCGGTTTCAGGGGGAACGGAAAATGTCATCATACGAGAATGTAGTAGGTGGGAAGCTGAAGCTGAAGGGAAAAGCCTTAGATGTTAAAACTGGTGGGATCAAGAAGAAAATGAAACATAAGAAGCAGATTCAACATCATGACCAAACTACCCAAAACGATCTCTCTGATGCTGCTTGTGGTCTGTTTTCTTTTCTCACTTTTCTGATAATATTTTTGGATTTTGGTTCGAGTTCTAATGTGTGTGTATTTAATCTTCTGTATACTCATGTTCGATTATGGTATTTGTCGGTTTTTCATATCAATAATATGTCATTTCCTTTTCCTTTTCTTTACTCTGATTTCTTATGTATATTGCAATGTTGATGCTGCTTTTAGATGAAGTTAAGGCCAATTCTTTAAAATGTTCATGTTTTATTCCCGTGAAAGTTCTCCATAGAGATTCACTTAAACTTGTTAGGGCGACATATTTTTTGTTCTTTTTTGCTGGTCAAATGGCTTTTAGACAGTACATAACTGAGACATTCAAATCTTTCTAGCTGCATTCATATTTTGTAGCCCCTTGGCTTGGCTTGGCTGGATTTAGATTGGACTAATGTTGTAAATGGCACAAGGCGTGCTCTATGCTCTAATAGACTCGAAACAGTGGTCTAGTTTATTTTTCAAAACTTGCAACGTTTTCTTTTTATTTTGTTGACCAACAAGATTATTTTTTGTTATGATTCCATGTCTGTCTTTGAATACTAAAACTTTGAAAAGTTGAAAGTATGATATTATCCCTTTTCTTTACTACCACAAAATTTATAATTAAAGAAATTAAAGAGAACACAAGGCACCTTGGCTTTGCTTGTGCCTACCCTTTCACAAAAAGGCACTGTCTTGGGCTGTAGGCACTTAGGTTCCAATTTGCTTGTTTCATCTTGTGTGGCAGACATCTTACCAACAGTAGACTGTAATAGAATTCTACTGTTAATCTATAACCAGACATTGTATTGTTTAGATTCTGTTAATTTACTTGACTCAACCTGCTTCCATCATGTTACACACTTTCGATTTATTTGGTTCAATGCATGCCTGTGTTCCCCTTAATTGAGTTTAGTGCATCATAATTGTTTATAGACCTCAGAATTTTATCTGGTTCTTGATGTAGGTGGAACCACAGAAGTTTCTGTTGATCCAAATGAAGAAGATGTCAATGATGCTGAGAAATCAAGTGGGGAGAGGAAGGTTCCTCATTATGATGATTATCTTACCCCAGCAGAGAGGCGGTACATTGAACAGAGAGAGCAACTTGACATTAATAGGTTGGCTAAGCAAGCTAATAAATCTCACCGTGATAGAATCCAGGATTTCAACCAGTATCTGGCAAACATGAGTGAGCATTATGACATTCCAAAAGTTGGACCTGGTTAATTCGTGCGACACGGTATCTCAGTGTTTTTAGATGGAACTTATGTTGTAATGTACCAAAGGTCAAGAACCAATAACTGCTTTGTTTTGTGGAGTTTGTTAATTGATACGTCACACGTTATGCTGTCTAATTTGTAGTTGCTGTATTCAATCATTCTTACTTCCAGGCTTCCAGCATATAATGAGATCGTCTCACTTGAGATCGTTTTACTTTATGTTTTAACTAGTGCTTGTCCTCTGGCCTCTCCACCTGCTTTGGCATACCTAGTAGGGTTGGGAACCGTTCTTCAATTCGAATATGGAAAAAATATTTGCACTTTTTTTTAAGCAAATTTCTTTGGTTTGGTTCACCAGTTTTTGAACTAATGAATTGAAAGTCATTTGTACCAAGTATAATCAAAAGTAGTATCATAACCAAACTCAAAGTGGACATTACATTTCAAATTTGTTCTCAGTTTAGCTCAGTTTACTTGGTCCATTCCTCGCTGAATTTTGCAAAACTGAAGCATCTTAGACCGAGATTTGATAATTTTGATTGATTTCTTTCCAACTTTCGTGATTTTTTAAGTTCCCAAGGGATTGGGAGGAAAGGAATTGTGGATTTTGTTCTTCTAAAGTAGTGCTGAAAGGGAGGTTTGTGTTGCTCCCATATGGAGGTTTATGGGATGAAAATTTTATCGAGGACACTAGGAAGATTTTTATTATTATAGTGTATTTCAATGAAAATAAAAGAACGTTTGATTATAATTCAAACCAGCAAATCCACCATGATCTTACTGGATACGAGTTTACATGCAAGGGTGGTTTGTTGTGCGTCTTAAAAATGAAAAAGTATAGCGTCATAAAACTGGATATGGGATGTGATTCTTTCAAATCAATTTTCTGTGTTAATATTCAAACCTCTGATCCCGTTTGATCTTGTTTAAGAGTTTAATATCTCATCATATTATATTAATAAATAATACTGAATTAACATAGTTTATTATCCGTGGTATCATTTTTCCACACCCAGCCAAGTACAAAGACAAAACTAAAAATATAAATACACATCTTATCAACGTAAAATAATAAATCAAGGTTCTAGTATCCTGCTGTAAAAAAAAGAAACGGGCAAAAAAATACATAAATATGAACTCATGACTATATAGCACTCTAGAATTCAGGCCAACAGAAAGGCTACAACGCTAGAACATGCATCTACTGAGAGAATTTCCCTGCACTCAAGCATTGATGGAGAAAGAGCCTACCCCAACGACCAAAACCTTGGGGCTGGTAAAGTCGAACTTGTAAACTTCCGTTCACCTAGTCTCATCCTCCAATGCACGGAAACCAGCAGTCAGATCCTCATGGAGCTTTTTGAATTTTGCCACAAGTGCTTCCTCTCCTTCTCCTGGGTCTTCAAATTTTTGCGACCTGTGTCGAGAAATTAACACATTAAGCACCGCCCACTGCTTGTAGCCAAAAACCAAAAACGAGATCTATTTTCATCACAAAACTTCATCTTACACTAATCGATAAAAGAGATCTCCTAGACGATGCTTGATAAGAGTGTATGTTATCTTCTGACCATCCATACCGGCCGCTTTCTCTACCGCCTGCACACAGAAATTGCAGTACACCTTAGTCCTACAGCCTCCAGTTGATAGACGAAAAAGATAGCAGTACAGCAATGAAGTAGCGTAGACACCGAAGAGTTTGAAATGTACAAAGCTAGAGGCAAAATGATACGATCTCGTGATACATCTCTCAAAGTACACATTTTCTTGACCTACTTATCTAGAATTCCAGAAGAACAGTATAAATTTGCTGGAGGCAAAGTGGACCTCTTTTTCTAGAACCTGGAATTGTACTTTCTTTATCAGCCATAAAATGAAGCATTATGGCACGGTCTAAATCTCTTTAGCCCCATGGATATTGAGACTTTCAAATACAACTTCAACAACTTTTCAAGTAAAATAGCATAGTAAGGATCCACTTAAAAAGTGTGGTCATTCTCTCTTCCCTAGCTCTCCAAATAGCTGCAAATGACCATAATAAAAATTCTACAGAAACATAGTAGCATTGATCAACAGTTGAACAGTGGCAGAGAGCATAGATGCTTCACCTGGTTGGCCAAATTATTGAAATGTATAATATTGCGCATCATCCAGACAGACTTGTAAAATGGGCAGAACTTGTCATATCTGTCTCAAAAATCCAAAACCATGTTCATAGAAGGATTATCATACGAAGACAGACATTGATACAATGATAGCTACTTAAGACTTATGCTATAAAACAGTAACAGCTGAAGCTTACGGAGTAAATGCATTCTGAGCAAGATAATCTTCCCTTAAAAGTTTAGCAGTTTCCAGTGTGATCTTATCTGTTTCAGCCAGAGCATCTTTTCCAACAAGCTGAAAAAAATACAAATTCCAGTGAGTGTTGAAATGAGGCGAGATGAAAGATGTTCTAAACATCTGTAGCCGCAGGCTACATAAACTTGTGTTAACATTAAAAACCGAACATGGTGAAAACAAAAAGGAGGGGACAAGAGGGAGAAAGTAACATTATGCTGTGTACGATTCAATGCCTTGTCAAAACTGAACTACAGAATTCACAACTTCCACATTTCAAATATTATACCTCTTTCTAGTCTTTAAGCGGAGTATAATAGGTACATTCCATCAAAGACCCATTGCAACATAAAGAAACATACCTGGACAATTTCATTCAAATCATCTTCCCTCTGGAGCACCTCTCGGGCTTTTGTCCTAATATTAATAAAATCTGGATCAAACTTCTCATAGAAAGTTTCCAGTGCCTGAGAACAAAAGAGAAGCAACCATTAAGGACGGGTGTCACTTGGGGGGAAAAGCCAGTTTAGGAAAAGAATAAACGGAAAATGAATTTTGGGAAAATTCAAACTGAGACGGATCAGATTATGAACATACCCCTGAGTACTTTGAATATGAAATAAGCCAGTTGACAGAAGGGAAATGCTTCCTCTGAGCAAGTTTCTTGTCAAGACCCCAGAAAACCTAACATTCAAACCAACAAGGAAAAGAAGCTAAGCTTTTACAGTAGAGAAGTGTAAAATTCATTGAAGCTAAAAGGCAGCAGCAAACAGCTTCTTTTATAAGGAAAAGCAATAATACTGAACTGCTACTATGTATACCTGGACAATACTGAGGGTTGCAGACGTCACAGGATCAGAGAAATCTCCTCCAGGAGGAGAAACAGCACCAACAATTGTGACACTCCCTGTACGTTCTGGACCACCAAGACATTTAACTTTCCCAGCACGTTCATAGAAAGAAGCCAATCTTGCTGCCAGATAAGCAGGATAACCACTGTCAGCGGGCATTTCTGCCTGCAAGACACGTTAAAACAGATAGCAAAATTAGCTTAATAGAAAGAAAGCCGTGAGGCAAGTGAATACCAGAATCATAAGACACAGAAACAACTAATATTTACATGCATTTTCATTGATGAAGTGAAATTAGATATAAAAAGCACAAGAAAATAATAAGACACTGAATAAACTGTTGAATGATAAACATTAGTAGCACTAAAGGCCTGAACTTTATGAAAATTCATAAAAAAAAATCATTAGTGAAGTTATCAAGAAGAGTTTTACCAGCCGCCCAGAAATTTCACGCAATGCTTCTGCCCAACGAGATGTTGAATCTGCCATCATACTAACATTGTATCCCATATCTCTGAAGTATTCAGCTATAGTGATCCCTGCAAATCCGCGAAATAGAAACTCAAAAGAATATTACAAGCAGATGTATTGTTCCACATTAGATAATAAAAGCAGATGTATTGTTCCACATTAGATAATAAGAATAAGAATAATAGAAATAACAAATCAAGATCCTCGCAATCATTATTATGATTTGTGGAAATTTCCCACAAGTATTACACAGATACTCTTAGGCCTTAGCACCAAAGATTACTCCTGAAGCAATTATTTGATATGCAATCGATATGATAAGCAGATCATAGCTTTTACCAGTGTAAATCGAGGCTTCACGGGCAGCCACAGGCATGTTCGACGTGTTTGCCACAAGCGTCGTTCGCTTCATGACAGATTCTTCACGACCATCAGGCAATGTCATTGTCAATTGAGGGAAATCCATAAGAACCTAAAAGAAAAAAAAACATAGAATCAGGACACTAAAATCTCCAAAGATTGATTAATATTCCAAAACAGAATATGGAAAAACACCTCAGCCATTTCATTTCCTCGCTCTCCACAACCAACATAGACAACAGCATCAGAATTAGAGTACTGCACGTGATAAGGAAAATATCAAAGTAACCACAATGAATATCTATGATTGGAAGAAGCTAAAGCTCTCAATAGAAATATATGGGGGGAAAACATTACCTTGGAAAGAGCTTGACTGATGACAGTTTTACCACAGCCAAATGCACCAGGAATAGCACAAGTTCCACCAAGAACTGAAGGGAATAGGGCATCAAGAACTCGCTGATCAAAAAGGGGGGAAAATATTCATCAGCAAATCACATCCTTAGAAAAAGGCGTCAATGGAAACAACCTACAATAAGACTTACCTGTCCGGTAAGCAGAGGTGTATCTGCAGCAAGCTTGGATGCAACAGGTCTTGGCGTACGCACAGGCCAAGTCTACAGACAGGTGTAGAACATTCCAAGTCAGAAATTTGAAATTTCAAAAAATGCGATTAGCAGTTATCAGTAATGCAGGCAAAGTATTGACCTCACTTAAATAAAATGGTCAAAACCAAATGTAAAGTGACTACAAATTTAACAATTGACAGCCAATAACACAGCCCAACCTTCCTAGGTAGGGATGACCAGACCCACCCAACAACTGAACCCAAATCCCAAACCCACCTACTGTCACATAAAGTCATGCAAAATGTCATGAAGAAAAGGAAAAGCACAAACCTGAAGCATGGTGAATTGTTTTTTGACCCCTTGAAACTCAAGTTCCAGCACCGTATCCTGCCATTAAGTAAAAGGATCAATTATAACAAAAATAAAGTTTTTACCACATTAAAGCAGATAAATGGCACGTTATGAACATTCAACAGCCAAACCTTTATTGAATATTGACCATGGGGAGCAATGTAAGTGATTTTTCCCATTGCATCAGGAGGAA